AATCTTGTTAAAGTTGAAGGTCGCATGGATTCCAGTCAGTATCAGCAAATTCTTGCGAACAATGTTCAAGAATCAATGTTGAATCAAGTTGAAGTTGCGCCGGGCCTGGATACTTCAACAAGATAACGACCCTAAACACAAACTCAAATTCTACCAAAGCATTAATGGAGAGGAACAAGTACAACGTTCTGGAATGGCCATCGCAGTCCCCAGACCTGATTATCATTGAAAATCTGTGGTCTGTTTTAAAGCGGGCTGTCCATGCTCGGAAACCATCAAACCTGACTGAACTGGAGATGTTTTGTAAAGAAGAATGGTCTAAAATACCTTCAACCACAATCCAGACCCTCACTTGGAAGCTATAGGAAGCGTTTAGAGGCTGTTATTTCTGCAAAAGGAGGATCTACTAAATATTTATGTAATTTTTCTGAAGGGGTGCCCACATTTATGCACCTGCCTACGGCACAACATACCGGCAGAGCTCAAGAGGAGGTACCGAAGGATGTAGGGCAGTGACGTGCGGTCAGGGGAGGCAGTGCCTCATCTGCCATCGTGATAAAAAAGTATTTGACCGTGCATTCCAATACAAACTGGGTCACATGACGCTTGCCAGTTTCTGTTCTAAAGGCAATAAAGTGTAGAGAAAAGTCAGCAGGGGAGGCACACAGTAGTCTGCCTCACCTCAAGGGGTCGTACGGGAACTGACAGGTGCTCTCGAGCTAGCATCAACAGGCAATTGAAAGTCGACGCCAAGCCAGAGCTAGTAGTAGACCCAAAGAGAAGATGATAAGTGATGGAAGACCAAGGCCAGTGTTCTGAAGTGTTCTCCTACCTATAGTTTTTTGCTTCGCGAGTCAACTGCGCATGCACACATCTGCCAATTTGCCGCTGCAGACAAGCCAGAGTTTTCTGCTACCCCACCGTTAAACAAGGTTAGTTTCTTGTATATTTAATACTTTATATGACCAGTATGCAATGCATAGGTTTGACAGTCAACTGGCCACGTGCATGAGATCGTGTCTGAATGCAGTTTGAATTGCTAAACTGCGATTTATCGTCATTTTCATGTAGTCATATAACTTGCCCCATATAGCCGCCAATTTTTTTCAGCTGTTTTAAAACAGTACCTTACTAAATTTGCGGCGTTTTATTGTAGTCATAAAACTTCTTTGTAGCCTTCAAACTTATGTGTATGCAATTCAAATGTCTAATAGCGCTGTGATTTTCCAGCTGTTTTAAAACAGTACCTTACCAAATTAGTGCAGGGTTTACAGTATTTCATAAGCTCGTTTACAATTCTCTGATAGTGGCCTACAGACTTGGATGGAAGTGTATGGACCCCTGACATTTGTACATGAAATTAAGTATTTCTTCCTTTGAGTTATTGATCGCTATGTTTTGTTAGGTATATAATCGGTTTATTTCCTTTGTGTGCATTTGAACTACACAAAAATGGAGAAAAAGGCAAATTTTACATAATTTCTAACCATTTTGTGAATCTTGTGTGAACTTGAGTTGCCTTTTTCTCTGAGTGAAATACTTTTAATATATACATTTATTAGAAGAAAGTCACTGATCTTTCATTCTGAAATATCTTACATTGGATAAATTGGGGCTGAAAGTTATATAGCAATGCACATAACATTTTTAACTTCTGTCTATGATGCTTCTTAGTCAACTTCTTCTGGACAGGACTCATGCTCACATTTTGACCAGGGAAGACAGATGGCTTGAGAAAAGCATAAAATAAGCCATTTTTGTCAACCTGGAAAAAAACAACACTCAACAGAGGAGGTGGGCTGAGACACACCCTATCACCCACAAGGTATGTGTTACTTTTGAATGGAAGTTACTTGACATGGTCTATGGATGTACTGTACTTTTGCACTAACAAATATATTGAACATTTTATCAGAAAGCCGTATTTTATCTCAATGCTGTTGTGGCAAGTTCCC